TTTCAATCAGAAAGAATCAGAGCTCGGCGTTCTGACGTCACCACAACCCACGTGGAAGAGGCAGACGAACTTGCGCTCCGCAATAGTCCCTGAGAGCTTAAGAGGCGCCGGCCTGGACAAGTTCAGAGATCCTCATTCACAGCCCATACACTTTAATAAGAATACATTAAAAACATTATACAATAAGAACAATCAAGAACCAATCAGAAGCCAAGAAGGGATAACATAATGTGCCAGGCCCTCCGTTTCTTAAGCTGTCAGTAACGTTATCAGATTAGCTCAGTTACGGAGCTGCTCATAGACGCTGCATGCACGAACAGAAGCCCCCCTCACTCACCACGACTCGCCTCCCGTCGTTCGACGCGCCGGACGGCTGCTATGGTAGCTGCAGTCTATTCTATGAAATACATGCGTTTCGAAACACAGCATCTAGATGGCGTTCAAGGACTGCTATATAGAGCATGCGGTTATGAAACGAAAACCTAGATGGCGTTTAAAACTACGGGAGGCGAACCGAAGTGAGTGAGGGGGGTACACCCTTCCGCAGGAGTTCCACAACTGAGGTAATGCGAGGCAATCTAGTAACGCTGGCTGTCAGGGACTATGTGGAACGCAAGTTTGTATGCTTCTTGAATAGGGTAGCCGTGACATCAGAACGCCGAGCTCTGATTGGCTCTGATTGGAAGGACAGTGGATAGACCTTAACGCTCGCTGCTTTAAGGTCTTCCCACTATCCTTCCGATCGGAGACAATGAGAGCTCGGCGTATCCGACGTCACCGCAACCCGCGTGCAAGAAGCAAACTGGTGCTTTGTGCGGGTTTTCAGACGAGAGTCATTGGGGTCTGACGTCTTTATTTTTTATATCAATTACATTCAGTTGAGGTAGCAAAGCATGTTCACGCAACGTAACAGATCTTGCTATTCAAAAATACTTCATGGTTTTTCTGAAAAATAATCGCGTCTGAGACGAGGCGGAAAAAAGGACTTTTTCGATTGCGCGTTGACGCGAATTTGATGGACCCAGGAACAATAAATACATGTTTATTAACGAATAACACTTTTACGTATAATGTCCAGAAACTGGCCTCCCAGAGTTGTTTAAATTAACATTATTTGAGATTATAGTTACATACTAAAAAAAGCGATAAACTTTGCATCTTGAGGCATTTTTTTGTGAATTGTAAGAACGTTATAATGCAAAGTATTTCATGTTTTGTGTACTGTTAAACAAATTATGGTTTTACTTCTGCTACTATTTTTTTATTTCGCCGTAGTATGACTGAAAATAAAAAAGGAAAAATTATGCCAGCTTGCAGTAGCAATTAAAACTAATCATCGTCCATTACCTTTAATCTACACCTGTGGACCATTAAAAACCGATAATTATAGATATGCAGAAAAGGTCGCAATATTTTGTTTTACATTATAAAAATAAATGTTTAATCGGGTCTATGACGCAGTAAATTACCGGTGAAGATTTTTTTCTTTTGACGAGTAGTAATGGTATATAAACACCGCATGCCCCAGTCACCGCACTGGGTCATATTAACGTGCCGGATCCACGAAACACTATAAAAAACCTGTAAGATATTTTCATTTATGATCTCGCTGACATTGCATATGAAGACTTGACTTTGCGGCGCGTTCGGTCCTTAAGATGTTGCTCGTTGAATATGATATTAATTGCTACATCTTTCCTTCGTACTAAGTTAGTTTAGGTAGCCTGTTGACCAAACAGTTTGATTAAGTTCTCTCTGCATTACTATGCTCCCTTTCCCCTCATGAAAAGCTATCGCGGATGTTACTAGCCATTTCCACAAAGTCAACGTATCACATTGCATCTGGTCACAAGTGCATCTCTCATAAGTCATGTTACATTCACGCGGCCTCGGATTGACTTTGATGACTCGTAGCTTCGTCTTCGATCTGTCGTAAATTAAAATTTTGAAACTAAATATAAACGGGCAACGTTATGGAAGCTTTTGCCCCTCCTGCCGATGGTTGGTGTGGTGAGGACGGAACGATAGCAGGATGGGTCTCAAACTGAGCGGCAAAGGAGCTAGGTAGCGTGACTGGACCAACGTTGCAGCTCCGTGTAAGTGACGGCTCAGGTGTTCGTAGCAGGCACCGCCGTATATCGGGTAATATTTACACTGCGCAGGAAAAGGCCCTCTACTGAGCAAAAACACAAAATTTCAATCTTGTTCCTCTATAATGTTGCGCAGCATGTCCTTGATGAACATCAACGCCCAAATATAGTGAAAATACTTTTTTTAATTATTGCCAGCATTTGTTCTTTTATATTCATCACATGTTTGGAAGCCAATTGCTTAACAACGTTTTATATATATTTAGTTTATATAATAGTTTAGTGCTTTGGGTAACAGATATGTTAACGGAAAAGTTTGAACGTGATATATAGACACCTAATAAGGTACAGGCTTGTAAATTCCCCAAACAGTGGCTCAACGTTCTACGTTTGGAAGTTGTTATAGTGCACGTAACGCAACGAATAAAAAATACTATTTTGGAGTACTTGCCCAAGCCTAAGTTTTAGAATTGTGTACCCAAATGCTTGAAAGCAAAGAAATAGCGTCTTCGACATGCGCCAGTCCATAACCCGGTTTGAGCTGGGCCCATTGAAATTGTGACGAGGGTAGATCTGGCGCGCGTTCTTTTTGAACTTATTTAAGTTGTGACTTACGTTATTCACTACGAAACATGATCATACGGGCGGTGAGCGTAAATGCCAGTGTCCACCTTCTTACGATGTGTTAGATTTCGTATCTGGAAACTTCACTTATTTTCTAGGCCAAGACATTTTTTTTTTATTCGTTGACTTTAGGCAATGCCATATAAAATATAAAGTTAATTAAATATATCGACAAGCCACCCTTTGTTCGTCCTTCCCTGAAATCGCCCAATACCATAATATATTATAATCACTCTGTTCTACCCTCGCTACGGCGACCGTCGTTCGGCACATAAGCTTCCTAACGACTTCAGAGTCTAGCGATGCCTAGCGAAGTTAATAAAACTGGATTCTCAGCAAACATCTTACATTGAAATACTTACTTAGAAAAGCGTACTTACTGCGCCGTTAGAAAAAATCCTTACTGCACAATGGACATATCTATCAAGTAAAATTTCAATCAGGTTTTTGGCGTAGCATGGGTGAGCGAGCTTATATCTCTTCCCCTGCTTCCGAAATCCTTCTGACAGTGTAGAATACACCCCTCTCCCCCTCCCCGCCAAATATTCATAGCTACCCTGATGAAACTCCTTAAGGAACCAACCCGCCGCAAAATGAAGTTTTTATATGAACTATCAAAGACATAACGAATCTTTAATGACTCGGGAGAGCCAGGGCACCGCGGAAAGGCGACAGCCCGTACCATACAGAGGTCCGAGGTGCCGCGTCTACTAAGTGTGAATATGGGTTGTTGTAAGATACAGGATGCATCGCGATGTTGAAATGGAGCTTGTGGGCGAGGATGCGGGTTGTTCAAACAGTCACAGTTTTTATAGTGTTTTATGGTTCCTGCACGTTACTATTGTAAAATACGGCCACCGTGGCTTGCGCTGCGCCAGCAGCATTAGTCGTTAAGAAAGAAACCGTCCACTGGTAATGGAATGCTACAGAGACCAGGCTTAACATTAATTTTTATTATTTAAATATCAATAGTGCAATATGTGTTTGCAGTTATGAAAGGATCGGTTGTCAAGGGTCGATCCCGTGAAGCTTGAAGAAAGTCGAAGATGTATAGTTTCAAACTGCCGTGCCAAATTGTAATCTCTTTTTAATTTTCGACTTTTTGACAAATTTAGGTTCTATCAAAAAAAAAAAAAAAAAGAAAGACAGTTTTAACAGTATAGCGCTACATCATTTTTTTTAAAGTGCACCGAGCATAAAATACTTTGCACAAAATGTCTTAGCTCGAAAAATTAGTTTTAATACACCTTAACATATACACCGAAAGATGCCTCAAAATCATAAAGATGTGCAAGAAAACAAGTCTCGTCTTATATCTTTAGACGTAAACTAAACTAAAATAAAAAATGTAACTCTAGTAGACAGGTCTGTGTGCATTATACATAAAATATATTACCGTTTTAGAAAGTTGTTTTCGCTATTCCTGGGGCCCTCGAATTCGCGTCCACGCGCAATGGGGATAGTCGTTTCCACCCCTTCTCAGACGAAATTTTGTTCTCACGAAAACAACCAGGTATCTCACAAAATAAAAGTATGTTCCCTTGCGTCGTCATGTTTCGCTACCTCATAAAAGCAAAAGTTAATTGAAAGCAAAAAATAGACATTACACCCCCTTTTTTTAACACACCCTTTGGCAGATTCTTAGTGAACGGTTGCGAGGCGCACGCGGCCTTATTTTCAACAGCAGCAATACCGTTCAGTTTTTCTTTACTTTGTTTACCCCGAAGCTGAGAGTGGGGTGGAAGCTACGAGCTGGTTGGACCTGTTATACGTCGATTTTTTGTCACGTGCTCCCGTTTCCGCCAATTCTCACGCACAGAAAGCGACATCACGTGATGTAGGGGAGGCAGGTGATTGGTCTGGCAAGCACGCAGCTGCCACCGCACTACCAGCTTAGGGGTGACCAGAGTACCAACGACACCCTGGGCATGTCTGCATGCCCAGGGTGTCGCAGTAATGTATGAATGAATGTTTAAACATTGCCCTCCCCTGCGCAGTGGACTTGTTCCGTTTTGTTTAAAAAATATTTTTCGAAAGGCGAGTCCGAACAAACACGCATGGATACAGTTTACTTTGTTTAACATATTGTGAGGTCTGCATGAAACTGCTCCTCAGATGGGGAAATTCAAACCACCGAAGAGTGTGCTACTGTACTTCTAGGAGGTTCAAAATGGCGGGCATTATTTACAGGGTGCGTTGGTACAGCGGTTACCATTGGTGTCTGGGAAATGGGATTTGCTGACGTGTGCGAATTTCATCGATATTTTCAATTATTTTTGCATTGACTTACTTGCTGATGCTTTCGGCTTCGTAGAACGTGTCCGGAAGAGGTTTGTTGAGCGTCTCGGGAAGTAGCAGCGTCAGTCCCGCACCCAAGAGGGAAAATGCACCAAGAACAAGAGGGGGCACCACCACGGGGTCTGTCACCTCTCCCTGCCCATGGAAGACCCCATGAATTCATTCATTGGGCGCAAGCGCAGCAGCACAACCTAGCAGTGGTCTGCCAGTGCTGCTGTCACATATAACTGACGGACCACGGAGACACAACGAACAGTTCGTGTATTTTAAAAGTTACATAAGTGTCCCCAGGAGTACGGACGAGCACTTAAGATTATTACTTTTCATTAGTACGGTGATTTATCGAGATAGGAACTAATATTACTTGTTGCACCTCGTGCATTTTTGATTTGGAGCCGAGCACGTCATGCATCAACCGCTCATTATGGCCTGCACCGAGTTCCACTGTAACATCCACCCTCCCTCCATCTCTTAATTTAAGCATTCGTAACAACCATATTGTGTTGTAGTTCGGGGCTTAGTGTTACTTTTTTGTATTATGTTTTTCTGAGAAACGTTTTGAACTGGTATTGCTATTTGCTTAAATTGTTTGTGGAACATATTATTACAAAATTATAGATCAATAGAACACATAAAACACATGTAACGCGTAGGTAATATATGTGCAGTAAAAATATCAAAACAGAGATTTAATAACCGTTCAAAAATACCCAAACATTTAACATAACTTTCTTTAGGAGTAACAGATAAATTATTTTGGGTCGAATATAACGTGATGCTTGTTTAAATTTGTGGCAACATTAAGGGCGCCAGCTCATCTTATAACATTAATCATAGTCGGAATCTTTAATCAACACTACGCCCTAAAGAGTTTCGTTGTGTGTATACCTCCCGAATGAGTGTGATGAGCACCATATGTTGGTTTGATTGGTACAACCGTGGAAAGGCTACAACAAAGTCATCTAATAACCCCTTCCCTCCCCCATTCAGGTTATGACTTTCTAAACTGCTTTTATTGCGTAAGCATGATGTTGTTTGAGCACGGGTTACGCTTGCCTGGACTCTGATGGCTAATAGCCCAGAGACACTTGGGTGCTCCCTTCTGACAGCCATTGTGACACCTGACCAGCATTGCCAAATCAAGTGAACAAAGCTGCTGGGGCTATAGTATTTATTTATTTATTTATTTGCTCAAATTACCTCATGGCGTCCGTGAGGGCCTTATAGTGGGAAAGGGGCAAATGCCAAATCAACTTGGTGCCAAGGACACATATTTTTAGAAGGCAATCAGAAAAACAAGAAGGTGCTCTGCCTGCAGAGAATGCGCACAACAAATAAAAAAAAGAAATCCTTGAAACGGAGGAAAAGATAAAATGCGCTTTTTAACATATATGAAGACTGGTAATTTGTAGAAGGGTCAAGTATTAGAAATTCGGACAATGTATAATAAAACTGGGAGTTTGCGTCTCTTTAGAATAGTACTTCAGGTAGCTGTTTCCAGTTACTTACAATACATGGAAATAATTAATATTTAAATATGTCAGTTCTGTGCGCAAACTGTATACGTTCTCTGCTGTTATCATGCCGCAGGGAAGATGAAGTGAGGCGGAAGTAAACACTTTCTTCTGTCGATTTCCAATTCACTCTCATCTATGCCATGTAGAAGTTTCAGGCGGAAGCATTGTCCACGATTCTGTATAAAGGCTGCCAATTGAGCTCACGCTTCTAGGCAGTCACGCTTTGAGAACGCGAATACGCATTAAGGGCGAACCTGGCCGATCTATTTTCTATTAGTTTTATGGTTTTAATCAGGTATTGCTGGTGAGGATCTCATACTTCTGATGCCTATTTACGGATGGACCGACATTTTTAAGACATATAGTACTTTTGACTTTCTGAGGCCAATTCTTTATCTTACGTTTGGTGGAGTCTAGCATCTGGTTGGCTTTAGTAGTAACATATTGAATATGATAGCGCCAGGATAAATCACAAGAAAAGTAAACGCCTAAATATTTTTGTAAAGTACACTTTAAAAAAAGTTCATTTTTGTTTTGCTTTTTTTAGTCAGTTTATGCTTAGTAGAGTCACTGACATATTTGGAAATTTAGGACGTGACTTAATATTCTCACCCGTTTTGTTTTGGGATTTGCTGCGTGTTATTATTACATATTGCCCCAATCTCAATGGCTGCGGAGCGAATAGTAAGGTCCAGAATACTCTTCACACTCAGTGTTTCTTCAGCTGTTTATTGATGTAGTGTGTATGAAATCGCGAAATACTTTCTTTGGCGCCATGGTGCACGTGCGATCTCGAGCAGCTGCTTTCGGTTGGAAACTATAGAGTCGCGCTTCTTGCGCTTTCCTTTGGCTATGCGGACTGCAAACATAATTTGTTCTTGTTTTTTTGTTTCTGACACAACAGTCAACTGGAACTTGCGTTCAATTGGCAGAGAACTTATTGAACACTAGACACAGACGAACGGTTCCGCAGTACTTGTGCACAATCTGCGTGTCACGCTCGAACGAGGTCGATGATTAAATGTTGAAGTGCCTTGTGTTGGGTAAACACTGCGCTGTGTAAGAAACAAGCTAAACAATGCGCCCCCGACCCCTAATTGTTTCATTATCTCGCTAATATGAACTCGACGCCTGTATTTGTTCTAGAGCCAAGAGCCGACGCTAGCCCATGACTGACAATGCCTAAGGCTGATCGGGATGGCCTTTCTTTTTTGCCGACTGGTTCATGACGGCCCTTATCAGGTGATGCAGCGAGTTTCCGGGCTTCCCCGGTATAAGCTGATCTAAGCTGGTCATGCTTTTTTGTTCTTAAGGTAATTTGTAAGTCGCGACGTTCCATAACAGGAGCAAGAGCATGAACGGTCGTTGGATAATAGCGGTTATACTCCATTTGTCATGAGTGGCTACCCCTAAAATTGTGCGTATATATAGATATATTTAACTAGACTTTGGCCGATGGTTTTCTGTTTGGTATAATTAGAAAAAAAACGAGTACGATAATTTTTCTGATGACAATCAAATATGATTTTTTTAGCAATATATGCATTTAGACTGTTTCGATCCGCGTGCCGTTAGATCAAGGTGTTCACCCTAAGGTATTTATTTCAATTTATTAAGACACTGCCTGTACACATTGAAGGAACCTTAACAAAAAATGATACACATGCACGGAAAGAAGGTGATAAGTGAATAATGATAACGGTTCATTTTTATGGGAAGTGCGAGGTGGTGGATGGCGACTCATCTCAACTACCGTTTGTACTGGGTTTGTTTCCGAAAGATACATTTTTAAATGTCGAGCGAGCTGCTACGTATAAGGTTCTGTGCTAAAAGATAGACACTACCTTTATGTCTCTATCAACACCATAAGGACTTGACGAAGTCCAAAGGAAACTTACATTTATTTATGAGTGTGGATGGAAGCCCTTGTTAGAACACCATAGTCGGTGACATGTTAGGAGTGAAGTGGAAGCTCGTCCCACCTCTTTACACATTAGACGACCGAACGCTGGACAGGAGGGAACCTCCTTTCTAGAGTTTGATCTGCCTAGAGTTTTCTCTACCCAAGGGTGAAAAAGGTGGGACCAGCTTCCACTTCACTCCTAACATGTCACCGACTATAGAACATCATAGCTGTACGCAATACGGTAGTTCGATCCGTCTTGAAATATTGTAGACTTTTAGTACATGCTTCCGATGACTCCAATAAAAATACCCGAACCATCGCCGCCTCTTTCGCGTATGCTTCGTTTTGTTATCAGTATCGTTATCGGGTGTATGGGAGGCATCAAAAGAATCGAGATAAAGCTACCTACTTTCATAAGCGCATAGTGACCCACGCATACACCCTAAGCGAAGGGACGTCATACTTTAGAAACGTTCATTGCCTGTATACTTTAAGAAAAAAGAGGATGAAAAGGAACCTGGCGAAGGCGGAAATTGGTGCTGTTCCTCCTTTTCACTTATTTTGCACCACGCGCCTTCTATCGGGAGTTGAAAAAATATGGCGAATTTCCCCCATCTGTGGAATTACTTCCGTGCATGAGCAAGCACAAGTGCTATGTGTGGTGTCGCAATAAAACTGCACTGTTTTTGAGATGGCCGGTGCGAGGATAATTACTGAAATGCATTCATGTGTGACTATGAACGCCACAATCGGCATGTGAGGTATTTACCCCCTCTATATCTATGAGATTGCTCTTCACTCGGTGACGGAACCGGGAAGCGCTGAGCCTAAGGATGGAGGAGAGTCAAAGTCAGTGAAATTTCTTCCATACACTAGAAACACGTGGGAATTTATCTCCCTTCTGAAGAGACGAAGTTTCTTCTATACCCAAGAAATAGGTGGGAATTCGCCTCCCTTCTGAATAGAGAAAGTTTCTTCCCTACAAAAGAGGTGGGAATTTTTCTCCCTTCTAAAAATAGGAAATGCCATCCCTTTCCTAGGGTGTGGATTACATTTTCTCCATTTGAAGAGTGACATACGAGACATCTCTTTTCCTTCCTTTGGAAAGGAAGTACACCTCTTTCTTTTTTGTAGTGTGTATTTTCAAGCGCAGCACTTGGGAGAGGCAATTGCTACGATCTATGCGGGGACCTCGACAAATGACCAAAGTTCAAAATTCCTGTAGTCCTGAAAAACAAACTGTGCGGTGACACTGAGCACAACGCTCACTGTCGCGGCGAAGAGTGTTTATTTAGGTCCAGCATATTCCTAACCTTGTCGTTCACCGTTTACAAGCCTCGTATTACACTGTAGATTACAGCGACTAACTTTCCCAAGTACTTTGCGTGAACGTGAACGCACCGGATTTTATTAGAGTTGAGTAAATCATGTCGCTGCACGCCTTGCTAAAATTATAAGGAAAATAATGAACGCACCAGGTCTCTGAGGAAGGGAGCCAAGATTGCACCACACCGAGAGCACGTCATGCAGCATGCGAAGCCGAAGCTACGAGCTGTAGTCGGGAACACCTCGAGGACCATGATCCACTTGATGAACCCGGCACTCAGTATAAAGAAGCGGAGCAGAACATTGGAAGTGATGCTCAGCCAGGGCATACTAGCTGCATGAAAATTCAGATTCACAATAAGCGAAACCGTGTATAGGCGGGGTACTATACTCAGCCATAGCCTCCTTTTTTCTTACAAAGCCTGGCAGTTCGACGACGAAACCATAGAGTACCCAGTCACAGATCTGGAACGCGAGGATCTGGTAGCACAGGGCATCAAAGAACCATTTCTTGAAGAACCTGGGCGTCAGTGCACAGCTTCTGCAGCGGCGAGGACCATAAACACGCTTGTTCGCTCGGGAGAGGTGTGCTTCGGCGTCTTGCCGCAGCGGCGCACCAGTCACTTGGCTCTCCTCTCAAACGTTGTCTGCCACTCCACCTCTTCCATTTCGGCGGCCACTTTTCGTGGCGATCTGCCAGGCTTTGTCAGTATATAGGAGGCTATGACTCACCTAATGCTACAAGAAATGTCAAAAACCGCGTGAATTGATTGTGATACATTTGCTCTCACTGGGCTAAACCGGGAGCACCACCAGAAATGGATATTGTTTTTTTTTGTGAAGGACGCTGCTGAATACCGAGAGTAAGATTTGTGATGAAAATAATATTCACTGCTTTATGAAATAACTGTTCTCTGCAAAATAATAAACCTAAGGATTTTAAACGACCGATGGCCGGATAATATTAATGATGATATACTTTGCTTCAGCTTAAGTCCAGAGGGGGTCCACGCTACGATGTAGTTGGAGCAATTAATCCACGTCAAAACGTGCAAGTCATTAGGTATTTTCTGTTTATGAATGGTTCAGCGATGATAGAACACGTACAGAAACATGACGAACATAATGAGGATGCGCTTTTTGACGCTGCGTGATTGAACCCATCAGCTCGCAGAATCAGCTGCGTTTGAACTTAAGGGGAAACGAAGTGTAGGATCCTCGCCTATAACGTGGTGTAGATGTCTGGATAGCTGACTCCTATCGTCTGGACCAAAAGTGGAAATCAAACGCGTTTCATCTGATTGCGTCCTGTCTTTTCCTGTTTGAAGATAGTGTCTGAAGGCGTTTTAATTCTTCCATGTCTTGATACCTTAATATCAAGAGTAATCCCTTCATAGTCGTCTTCTGAGTGTCCCGCCTTAAGACTGAGGATAGTTCGAAGAAATACGGCGTCAGTGCAGTCGGAGGGACTATATCGCTAGACACAACAAAACTGATTCAGTGGCGATAAATCCTGTAGAGGGAATTCATTCGGCATATATATTTGATAATCATGTTCTGACTTTCTGTAAAAGAAAAGTGTATGGCTATATTGTAATGTCACTATGTAATCGTGAAATGATTAGATGCTGATGTAATGCAACCGCGGCGGAAAGCTCAACACCAGACCGAACGCTCAACAATTCTATGGCGTTTGGTAAAGTAGAGCACGATATATTTTTGGGATCTCAAACGCTTTATTTCGTTTCTTTAAAGTGTGTCACAAGTGGAAAGCGGATAGATGTGAACGGCGAGCTACCTACTTCTAATTTTTTGTTAAACAAAGGGCGTTTTATTTTCGGTCGCTTGTAGACTGAAAGATATGAAGTGAACCTCTTAACGCGGTCACTTGTAATGAAAATATGGACAGTCGGAGCTAGGAACGTAACCGAGTAGAGCATACGGGATTCTAGTTAACACAGACGTTCGGGCGAGTTCGTTGTTCATGATCTACAGGGGGAACAGCGCACCCGCGAAGCAGTCACTTGAGTCAACACACATGCAAAAGAAAGGGACACTTACACAGCGCTGACTGACAACTCTCGGGTGTATTTACACTTCTTTCTATTCTTCTATTTGTATTATAGGCTAGGGCCTGGGATAATAACTGGTCTTTTTTTTTTTTCTTTCGATATGAAGCTAAATTTAAAGCTAACGAAATTAAAATTAATGTAAGGCTAGGTAGTCTAATGCTGGTCCTATGAGCCCAGGGGAAACAAACCGCTTATGCCATTCAACTCGGCCCATTCAAAACTTGCTAAAAGGAGCATCGTGCGGTTATGCCTCAAAAACTCACTCACAAAATCCTACTCGCATTCCATCCCAACGAGCTTTAACGGTCAAGTCTCACGACTAAAGAGTGCAGGATATCCAATCTCGTTATTAACATCAGTGGCCGACAAATTCATCAACGAATGCAGGCAAGATGTTTACACTCAGCAAAAACAAAGAGACAAAACAAAGAGACCCATCATTTTGCCATATATTCATAGTTTTTCTCACGGACTGAAGAAAATAGCTAATTGAGTAAACTTGGAAGTCATCTTCTCAGCTCCTAACAAACTTCGCACCTTGTGCAAGAAAGTAAATACCTCACCAATTACAATTGTCGGCTGCAAAAAGAAGCACAAGAACACGTTTGTCCCGTGTACAGGGAAGGTGGTCTACTCCTTTCCTCTCTCTTGTGGAAAACTCTACATAGGTCAGACCGGAAGATGTCTTAACGATCGCCTTCGTGAGCACAAAAGCACATACACCAACAAAAACTCGGGAAATTTGGGCATTCACTGTCGAGACTGTTGCTGCTCAGTGCGGCTGAGTAACTGTGCTGTGCTTGGCAAGCACCACAACTAGCTCACAAGAGAAATTATCGAGGCGGAGAATATCGCAAAACATAACGACAGACGTGTTAGTACTCTGTCAATAACCTTATCGCAAAAAGAATTAGACTACCTAGCCTTACATTAATTTCAATTTAGTTAGCGTTAAATTTAGCTTCATATTGAAAGAAATTAAAAAAAAGACCAGTTATTATCCCAGGTCCTAGCCTATAATGCAGATAGAAGAAGAGAAAGAAGTGGAAACACCCCCGAAAGTTGTCAGTCAGCGCTGTGTGTCTCTTCCTTTTGTATATGTGTTGACTCGAGTGACAGCTTTGCGGGTGCGCTGTTCGCCCCGTAGCACGGCCTGACTGGAAGAGCGCGCTCTCTCTTTCTTCTTACGGCCTTTGCAATAGGGCCAATCGCCACCTCCCGCCGCAATTCGCGGGGGGCGCTGTCACCTCACCCCTGGGCTACCCTTTGCCGTTTGCGCAGAGCGCGTCTGACAGTGTACCTCAGCCCTGTCGACTTGCGGCCGAGATTTTTATAGCCTTTGACACCTGATTATTATGTTTAGACCCTCAGCCATGCACTATCTAATGCGCTTTTGGTGAGCCCAAAACGGTGAATATTTGATGCACATCTCCGAGAGAATCGAGTAAAAAGTAGTAAGTAGAAACGGCGAATGCAATTGCTAAAAAACTATTCTCGTCTTTACCTCCAGGACTTCTGTTGCAACTCAAGAACAGGAGGAGACGGACCCCTTCTACGCGGAGGAACTTTAAACGATAAATAATTCGTACACTCTAGTGAAATGTAAGCAGGCCAAATCTATCAATTGTCGTGATCTGCATCATCATTTCACAGGCCGCACATGAAGTCGGTCAGCTGCTCTAGACGAGGGTGTAGTAGTCTGTTCAATTTTCGCACAGTGGATATTACAGCCTAAAGTGCTTCCTCGAGGGCTTGTGCACATATCCAGCTAATTTTTCGCGTTTGTCCGTGACCGTCTTTGCATGGTTAATCAGAAGTATTCTGAGGAACTTGTTGCAAATAAATTTGACGGACAGAATAGAACGCAGCAGCAGACCATGACCGCGCTTTCCGAACAACGGCGTGCTAGGGGCCAGACAAGTACAGAGGTCCCGTCCATGCCTCAGGATAACGCAGTTTGCTGACGACACTGCCTATCCGTAGAGTGACTTAAATCGGAGCGAAGTTCAATAAGCCGTTGCCAAAACAACAACCTATGAAGCTCGAACACCAGCGCAAAGCAGCTCGAAGGGACTCTCCGAGTGGGGTTCTAGTGGGTGAAGTGGGATGGGGTAGTTGCGCCCTTGGCGGCAAGCAAGTGAACTACATACGAAGAAAAAATGCCATTGACTCCCGGGCGGTTGCAAAGGCCGTAAGAAGAGAAAGAGAGCGCGCGCTTCCAGTCCGGTCGTGCCCGTAGATACGCGATTCATTCTAAATAAAAGACGTTTCATATTCCCCCCCACCCCCCCCCCCCCAAAAAAAAAAAAAAATTGTAAATGTTTTTGTACCTTTCGCCACAAAAAGAAATAATCTAATAGACAAGTGCTGCACAAAAGACGCAATCATGTCTTACCTATGGACAAGAAAGGCATTGGCAGAACGGACAGCCCGGCAAGAACTAGGAAGATGGATTGAGACTTGCGTCGGCTCCAGCGTGTGGCCACAAAAAGGCCTAAAAGCGCGGCAGGGATCTCGATGGAGGAGGAGATGGCGTAGTTGAGGTACGGGTTGCCCGGAACCTTGGTAGCCGATAGCACCACGTTGTAGTATACGAAGGACCCCAAAGCCCTGTAAGGGAGGTGATTATCCGTATTTCAAGTACCAACACTACTACGTTTTGAATCCTGAGCTCTCTCTAAAACAGAAATGGTGAAACAAAGACAGTTGCAATCCACTGCACGCTCCCTTTATCTATTGCAACCAAGATTTGTTACGCACACACATAAAAAGTGAACATTCGTACGCCCCTTGTTGCATATAATACACCCCAAAACTTCAGTTCGACGTACAACGCACTGAAGTTGAACCGACGGTACGAACTATGATGAGCGGCTTGATATCGGAGTGGTACAACTTTTTAAATATATATAACGTACATACGTATGACGGACTGCAAAGAAGTAATGCATTTTTTTTGTTCTACTGAGAAGCCTGAGTGTTTTTTGTGTAGTCTTTGATATGCACTTTAGCTTTGTACTATGTTATATCCCACCGTCATCAAGCCTTTTATAAAAGATTGGGCCGTCTGTTTGATGTGAGTGCGCTGTACTGTAAGTTGACGTTTTGGGGTTTGCTATACAGTGATGTCTCGTTAATATGGACGCTTCCGTTCCTCCCAAAAATCGTCCAAAATATGAATTTCCATGTCAACGACACAAAAATGCATGCATCTTCCCAGTTTGTCTCTATAAATGGTGTCCATATAGAGGCGTCTCCATATGAACGGGGTCCATATTAACGAGACATGACAATGACAAGGGGTGTAATGGCTCAACTTTTTTTAGAGTGCATTCAATGATAGTGGTTCTTGTGAAACCGGATGGGGCTTGCGGCTTATTGGAGTTAGACATTTCGTCTCATCATGTCTGAGTGGTGTCAAAGGCAAGAACAAATAAAAAAAAAGGGAGAGATGTACTCTAGAAGCTCAAGGTTAAAGCGTATTCATTGTGGTTGATTTGTTTAGTCTAGGATAGCACACCAAGAAAAAATTAGAAAATATGCAAACTTTCGCTTTTTGCCCTATTTGCTTGGTCCTGTTGGTTCGAAGCGTCAGCTGCGCTCTGCTTCGGTGTAAAACCAAATGTAGTGGGACGTCCTGTTTTACCAATCGGGGTGGAACTGAACCGTGTGAAATGAATAACTAGTCAGTCTAGTCAAGTTAAAAACAAAATAAGGCATGTTACTCAAAAAAAAATCTTAGGGTGGTAGGTTTTTTTTTTTTAATTTTTATGTATGACCACCCTCCATTCATCGCTCTACCACAGTGTTTTGTGGCAGAAATGACTGGCTACATTCCCGGGTGCAGACAACGCACTCAAGCACTCGTTAACCGCTGCGGACTGACTGCTAAATGCGTCCGCGAGACATGAGCCGGACAGGCCCTCGACCGGGAGGTGGGCTTTATATGTTTTCGTCTTTCACTTATATCAGAAAGTGACTTTCAAATATTAAACACAATTCCAACAAAACCATAATGTTTTTATTTTGTTATTCTACGACAATCGCTGGTAGCTCGGTGTGCATGACCGCGGTCGGTACTCTGCTGTCGGAAAATATCCGATGAGGATCACTCAAAGCCGACCATTGTATGTCAGATTGTGCAGCTAGTTCTGTAACCTTTACTTTATCAAAGATGCGGATCATTATTAAAAATATCCGCCGCTAATACCTTGATAAAATATTGTTTTTGTACTAGATTTTAATTTACACGAACGGTATCAAAATTAAGATTCGTGATGTTATATTAATTATACTTAGAAGGCAAATACAATATAATTTAACATTGATTAAACTTGGGTGTGCATATCGCATGAGTACTGCTACTTTTATAATTCTACAAAATGACTATTCATTTAGTGCTATGGCTACTGCTAAATAATTTGGGAACAATTCTAGCGATACTCACTCGCTAGAAATAAGTGCAGCATTCTGGGAAGTTGATTTCTATGTGCCTTCATCACAAGTCGGGTGGTGAACCCAAAATGCGTGACGAAAACCGAGAACAAGAATAAGCACCGAAACATGCTAGTGCCAGAATCCGGCGTCTAAAGTCTTTAACCTTCCTTCAGAGTTACGGTGCTTTTATCCGTACGTAATACGCACCACAGAATACCACTGCGCGTTTTGTTAATGACCTACTCACCATATAATAAACAGTGCGCTGGTGTTTCGTCTCATCTTCGGGGTTCTAAAGAAGTCGATGAACATGAAGGTGTTCTGTTTGGTCTCCTGTACATAAAGTAAGAGCAACTGATCAATCTCAGACGTGCGCTTCTCTGTCCGTCAAGACGAAGCATGGCGACCATCTTTCATTTGGAAAGCTGTAATCGAGGCTAAAAGTATTTGCAATTAGATGGAGGCCTATTACGGTGTAGGCGTCGGGTAACTGACGCCTACACTTGCACGTTGAAGATAGCAAAGTCCACAAAATTACTTCGAAGTGCTTTCGTAGAACCGTACCAGGTGTCCTACATTAATTTCGCGGAAGCTTTACAGTGCAGAAACTAAATGTGTAGTCTGAAATAACCCTTTGAAAATTAACAATCTATACTGATTCTCTTCTGTGGAGCACCCAAGTCTCGTTTCTCATAAAACAAGGCAGGAGGCTACTTGTCCGCTCACGCAAAATGAAAAGTAAAGAACATAACGTTGCATTCTTACCGCTTTAGAATGAAGCACAAGCTCGTTCATAACCTGGTCCATATCAGGAACAGGCCTCCGGTTGATCTTTAAAATTTTCACTATGGAATATTCGGCGCTTTCGAGGCGTCCTTTGGTCATCAGCCACCGGGGAGATTCTTGGAGAATG